GATATCTTCTTTGCCTTAACCTTGACAGATAGGCAAAAATAGTTCTGTTCATTACAAAATCTCCTTAGTTTTGCTYAAAGTTCGATGCAACTGATGCTGGTGGTGTATTTAACACTTAGAATATGAGGTCAAGTGGACTGTACAGATTCGGTAGTTCTTTATTAGACCGGCCATTTTTAATAATTTGGTYGAGTTGACGTGTACAATAGGCAATGCCGCGTTCGTCGAAACAAAATATATTTCTGGAGAATCGAATTAATTATTTTTTTCAATTCTACCTCTAGACGTTCATCCTGGATGATAAAACTGCTCTTTTTGACACTAAATTCTTCACAGAAATACAGTCAAATCTTCAGTGCCATTACGAACCACCTCGAGATCGTAATTTAGTGTCCGCGAGAGTCCGTAGTAACGAGAGTTACTTTCAGTCATTTCTTTGTATTTTTTCGCCGGGGATTCAGTATTTTACTATCCGCAATATCAAGGTGTCCGTTGTACCGGGGTGTCCGTGAGGCGAGAGTTGACTGCCAAGGTTTTCAAGATCAGATTTAAAAAAAACACTAGCTTGTGGTCATCTTGTGCATTATTCATTGATGATCGCGTTTTTGTTATTGTCTTTTTTCCGTCTTCATTGCCTTTTGTTATACATATATTTTTTCTTTTTTTGTTATCGCTTTTTTGTTTGTCTTTCATTTTTGACTTTATTTGCAAATTTGCTATATACATTTCTTCATTTATAGATTGATTTTTTAGTCAATTACTGCTTGTATTTTGACATTTTGTATCCTATATTTATGTATCAATTGGYATGGAAAGGATTAAAGTTATTATTTACTTAAATTATTAGCTTGTTGTTAAGCTTATAATATACTTATTTTCTTATCGTTACAGTAAGTTAACACGAACATGAATATTTATTTTATTTGGGTTTTTGCAATTACATTTTCAATATTTTCAAATTTAATCATTAAGTTAACTTATTAAATTTGTCCTTTTTTATCCTTTTTTTAACTTTAGCAGTCATGTTCAAGGACGATTATATATTCTTTCTCMAATCTTTCGTTGTTAAGCGAGAAAGATGTCACGCTTTTTTTACTAATCAGTCATTGAAAGAGGGCGGAGCTCATGTCAACCCTTTTATTCTTTAAATGACTTTGTTTACATAATCAAAATAAAGGGGAAAAAATCCCAAAATCAGAAGAAACGTCCTCTTAGCAGACAGTCTAGACATAAGTAGTAGTAGCAGGCTTAAAACAGGTCAGAAAGTTAAAAACACAGCAAAAAATKTATTGTATATAAGAAAATTTCAAAGGATTTCTTTTTCCATAAACCATTATTCAAGAAAAAGAAATCAACCAGCAAATACAAGCAAAAAGGTGTGAATTTTCATTTAAAAAATATTGGCAAAGATATTAAAATATTTTTCAAAGAAAAAAAGAAAAAAGAAAGAGATACAAAAAAAAAATGAGAAAAAAAACTCAAAAACAACAATTTTAGTATTAAAATTAGTCATGACTCCTGAAAAAAATCATAATTTCAAAGAACTAAATCAACCATGAAATACCAGCTAGAAGGTGTGGATTTCAATCAAAAAGATTGACAAAAAGGATTAAAGGATTTTTTAAAGAGAAATGGCAGAAAGACGAATTAGAAACAGAATCAGAACTCAACAATGTTACTYACTAAAATTAGTCACACGAATTCCTGGAAAAATAATTATCAAAGCGTAGAGTACGATCGTCAAAACTCAATATCGCCGCGTAGTCTAAATAGAAATTAATAAATAATTATAATCTTTTTTTGTTTGTTTTACAAACCATTTATTCGGTGATGGAGTTTTTTTAAAAAGTCTAATTATTTAAAGACCAGTGGTAATATACTACAAAAGTGTTGTTACGTTCTATGTTTACAAGTTTTTTTAAAGTCATTTCTTATTGTTTTTCTTATGTATTTGGTCTTTAGTTTACTAGCTTTTGAAAAAGTGCTTGCTACCTGCTAAGGGAGCCATCATTTCTTTACTGTGACGGGGTAGGGGGTGGGTGACTAAATTTCCATTCAACCCTGTARACAAAATAGGGYCCTCCCTAGGAAAGCAAAAGAAAAAAAATGCCCCTCCCTTRAACAGGATATTATCACGCTTGTGTGAATTCTTGCGCGCTGATTGGGTGATTAGATTCTGTCAATAAGAAAATATACACCATCAAATCTAGCGCGCACGCTAAATTATAAGGAAAAATTGAGCTCTTCCATTGAAAATATATCCGACGAATAATTGGTTGACGTCAACCAAAAGCTTGTGTTTCTCTGTAAATGTTCAATCAAAACTTTACAGTCATGCTTATGCCGATTTTTGTTGTTTATTGTGTTAAAAACGGATTTGAGGTGGCATAAATGGTTTTCAGAAGTATGAACAAATTGTGGAAAAATGCATTTTCTCTCGATGGCATATATTTAGTATTGTTTAAAACAGCAGTAACACTGCGCTGAAGCCGCAAAACCTTTTGACCTGAAATGAAATTGATTGTTTTGAATTGAATTCGCCGATGGCGCAAATTGTTGCTTGTTTGTTTGTTTGTGTTTTTTTTATTTGTTTGTTTGTTTTTGCAAATTACATACCAGAACTAAGCCTTTCAAATGGACTTCAAAATTTCAATCTTGCAACACACTTTTTTAATGACASTTTCGCTGTGTAAGATATAGTATAATGGTGTTGGTAATAATCAGATGTTGCTATAACAACCACAGCGTTCGTTTACAAATAATTGGAAAAATGTCACTGCGAAACTGATTTTTTGTTAATGTTATGATAGGATTTATTTATCTATTATTTATTCAGTTTTGTTACTTTTGTTCTCAACGTTTATTTCTCTATAACAGACCTTATTCTTGTTCATTTTCTCTGGTCAAAAATTGTGGCCCTTCCTATAGAGCTCGTCCAAATAACGCCCTCCCCCCATATRAATGATAACTCCCTAATAACGTAATGATTGGTCACCACCTGTTAACGATTTACGACTKAMATAAATCGGTGAAACTAAAAAAAGSTTCATTAGATTCAGTTGGTCTAGTGGTACACTCTAGCTAAATCAGGTAAGATCAAACTAAAATTGATACTATTTTTGTTYTATAATTTTCTTGGACGTTTGTACGACAGAAGCTGTTTTAAGTTCAGCAGTTAAAATTATTTTTATTTTGAAAGATATTTTTTCGTATTTCAAGGGACACGATTTACCATTTTGTATCATTCTATATCAATTTTGTTGTTGCTTTTGTTTTGCTGTTTTTTTTTTATGTGTGTGTTTTTTTATACAATACAATTTTAAAGGTGACAAATATAATCGAAATATTCAGTTAAAAAAAAAACCCAACAACTATTACAAAATATATATCAGAGATCTAACCTATGAGTACGACTAGTTTTTACTTTTTTTAAAGATATTCCTGGAATTTCAACGGACATTTGATATCATTTTTATACAATGAGATAATAAATATTTCATTATAACAGAAATATACACTGTAATTTCTTATGATATTATCGTATTACCATTATTATCATATTTTGAGTTCATATCTCTACTTTTAAGAAGATAATAACTGTCTTTAGAGATAAATATTCTTTGTATTTAAATGCCAAATGAAATACTTGATTTTTAAGTGCGTTTTGACCGTTATAGAATATTATATTTGCTTTATTGCTAAGAATATCTTAAATTGATTCATATTGATATTTCATTCAATGTTTTCCGTTTCCTTTTTAAAATGTTATTTGTTGTTGTTGTTGTTGTAGTTGTTTTTTTGTTGTTTTTTTTTTTCATTTTATTTTTATCTGGATATCCCGTAAATCCAAACCTGAAGAGAAAAATAAGTTGCAGCTTTGACTAACGCACTATGTCATTATTATTAGTTTTTCTAATTATTAGTATTTTCAAAATAATTAAAAGGTATTTTCTAGAAATATTACACA